GGACACCTTTAACCCCACCGGGAGGGACTCCCGCGGGCGCAGCGTCCTCGCCCGCGCGCCTCTCCGCGGGGTCTTCATCCCCGGCATCCAGCCCATCTGCAATAAACGTGTTTGAAACAGATGCACTTGTTTTCTCTCCGCTCAGCCCGCTACAAACTCACCAGCGACGCGGCTGCGACCTTAGCAAATCACTGGGCAGCGACTCCAGAGCCCGGCTTCCCCAGTCCGACCCAGATCTCAGGTGAGTGTCCGCAGGCGGGGTGACGCCTGCCAGCGAAGGTGGGGAGAGGCCAGGTGCTCGCCTGGCAGCCCCCCTAGTCGGGAGGACCTGAACCGGCCCTGGGCCGCCTGCCCAGTGAGGACGCCCTGACCGCCGTCTGCCTCCAAGTTCAGTCGCCACGCCATCCGTCTTGCCTTCCACGGGCGTTTTAACCACTGGGAATGAGAATGGTACGAATTGGGTACCTGGAAAGGAGAGGATTACAAAAGAAAGCTGTGAAATAGCAGAAATCCTTATGGCTGCTTCCGTTTAGGGACCCTGAATACACACATAGATGGGTTCCAAACTGCCCCTTCCTCCAGTTTAATTTTTCGAAGTGTGTAGCATGCCGGGTCTTATCGAAAACACAGGAAGGGGTCCCGCCAAGCCCCCCCTCACCACCTTCTGATCCTTAGCAATGCAGAGCATCCCTACCTAGGTACGCACCACTTCCTGCATTATCCCGAAGCTCCTTCCTCGTGCTTAGGACGGACTTCCTCAATTAACCACTGATGATTACCCACTTCCAGCTGGGCGTCATTCCAGAAAGCTGTGTATTTTGTAAGGCACCAAAAGGTAACAGTTCAAACCCGAAAACCTCCAGACTTTGTCCCTTAAATCCTTGGTGCTAATTGAAGAATTAGCAAAGGCGAAAAAAAGAGCTAATAAGAACCTTTTGAGCCTTCTTTCTGTTTGAAAAATGAGATTTGATGTTCAATTCCAAGCAAAGATCCTGGAGTGGCTTGCCAGCTATTTGATATGTTTTAAACTTGTTTCAAAATAAGATGCTATCTTTCATATTCTGTACATACAGGTGTATGATAAGTAACATTTGCCACAGTGCTCCAAGTTCCCCCCCCCACCCGCCTTTGACCTACCTTACACAAACTAAATAAATGGTAAATTCCTGAATAAATAAGTCATTGAACATTAACAGAATGAGCATATTCTTGTAAACTGCATAGAACAGGAAAAGCAGAATATTATAGAACTTCCTCAAATAATTCTGGCATGAAGGGATCTAGTTCATCTTTTTTTGGCTACTGAAAAAGCTGTGACTTTATAGCTAGGGCTTGGCATTTATTGTCTCACCATAAATGCAATGACAGTGAGAACATTTTTTAAAAGAGAAGAGATGGAATCCAAAAACATTCTATTGCAGTATTAGGAAAATGAGACTGCAATTACTCTAAAAGAAAATAAAACAATGGTTATATGATGTCCTTGGTCCACCCGTGTAATTCTTGTAGCAAAAGCAAGGAATGTGAGCAGATTATGATATGACTAATTCCAATTTTGATGGTTAAAGAGAAGATGGATGTCAAAAACCTTGTCCACAGAGAGTAACAAGTTCAAAAATGAGACCATATGAAGTGAAGCCAAGCAATGAAGTGGGCTGACAGGGAGCTCAGCGAAAGCTTTCCCATGAGAAAAGGAAAGCTCCCAGTTCCAGGCTGCTTACCCCCTTCCAATCGGTAACCACCACTCAAATTACAAACCCTTTGGATTAATTGCCTTCTCGGAGCTCTTGCTAACTCAGTTTCTTTCTTTTTAAAAATCCTTGATCAGACCTACTTAGCTTTCTCACCCTGTTTTCAGCTTCTTTCACAATGTCCTCCTGTGAAATCCCTCTTCCGTTCCCATGAATCTTTCTGATATACTCAAACTTTCTGAGGAAACATTTTTAGTATCTACCATTTCAACTTGACCTGATTTTCCTCCAGCAACTGAATTTTCCCCTCAAGAGACTCTGAACGGATGAAGTAGTTCATTTTTCTAGTCACTAAAATCTCAGAGCTAGGAAAAGCTATGGCATTTATTCCTGAATACATGGACACCTGAATGCAACCTTCACTCACCAACCCACTGCACCAGAGATTCAACTCCTGCTTGCCTGAACCATCGGTTTGAGTCCACAGCTTGCCCAGTGGCTCTAGAAGGCCATCAGTGACTCAGGTTCTGTCCCGTGGAGGCCCTGGCTGGCTTCTCAGGCTGGTTCCCCTCATGGCTGAAGGATAGGTGCCAGTAACCTTCAGTGTGCTCTGCGTCCATACATGTCAAGTGGTCAGGGAGGGGGTTCTTCCCAGAAAAACACATGAAGAAATTTTCCAAATCACATTCTTCCAAAACAAAAAAGAAAAAAAAATACTCCTTGAGTCTCATTGGCCATAATTGTGCATGAAAGCATTCCAGAACCAGTCACCAGCAAGGACCCACACCTGTAGCTAAGCTTCCCCTGGAGAAATGGGGCTCTGATGGAGAGAAACAAATAAACTGAACAAAAGTGTGGTCCTCGTTGGGAAAAGAACAGGTAATAGTGAACTGACTGCTTACTATGCTCCTGAAACAGTCCAAAGCTTTCTATGTATTTTAGCCATTTTCAAGTCAAAACAGCTCTAGGAGGAAAGTATTATTGTCATCATCTTTGTTTTAAAAATATAGAAACTGAGGCATGGAGAGTTTGAATGTCTTGCTCAAGGTTTCAGAGTTCTTAGGTGGCAACACTGGATTCAAAATTGGACATCTAGCTTTGGAGACTGTTTTGTTACCCACTAAGCCAAACTGCCTTTGCTACCTACCTCACCATCTCCTCTGAAGTCCATGGTGAAGACTCAGATTTTGTAGTCAATGTAG